GAAGAGTCTGTAGTAAGTTGCTGCTGGTTTATATTTAGCTTGCTATGTGATTCACTGAGGTCAGGAAGTTAAGTGTCTCAGCAGTTACCTCACACATACTTATGAATGTCACGTTTTCTAAACATTATTTTCGGTGTTTTTTTCCCGAATCATCAGATAACCAGAGAAGGAAGAGAAGATGTTGCACTCCGCTTTTTTGATCGAACTTGTAACTGAGGATTAGTTATACCTATATATGAGGCTTTTTGTCTCTGGAAGATGTCGTGTGTCCGTTCTAGCAGTTTGTTTTCAGATCATTGAGTCATTTTAAGATCAACATTTCATAGACAAAAATAGCCATCCTTTTGCTACCTAAATGTGCATTTAAAATGTAAAAACCGAGTCATTTTAATGAGGGAAAATACATTGGCTGAGTTTGGCCGTTTACTGCAACATGGTCGGCTAATTAGTGGCACATCTCTTACTCCATATGCCAATTTCGCTATGAGGCCAGAACTGAAGGCCGAAAGTCTACCTCCTCTCCCCTAAAAGATCACGCACGGGTTACTTGAATGCAGGAGGGAGGAGGGGGAAGGGAGAAGGGAAGAGGGAGAAGGGAGGAGGGAGAAGGGGAGAAAATGGATGCGAGTAGACTTGTGGGACGATAGTTGAGTTTTAGAATGTAACAACGAGTTAGTCTTCAACCCAGGAAAACAACACAGTGACTCGGCCAGATCTTGAACTCGGACCTCTCAACCTGGGGTTTCAGCTCACTCTTAGGTGTCCCTCACACTAAAGAGAAGACAAGGCATCAAACGCCTTGGCAACTTTCCGTAAGGTTAAAGGAGAGAACTAAAGAAACGGTGTCCTTTTATCAAAATGGCCTGTTTCTTGGGTTTCTTCACGCCGAGGGCAAAAGGTCGAGAAAACAAAGAGTACAAAACGAATAGTGTTGAAGCAGCCAGATTTTGATGCGAAAACTCTACGAGAAAGTGGCTATCGATCGTTGAATGTTATCTCATCGAGCGGAACCTCACAAACTGTCTTTCGTTCACTAAAAAAACTTTGGTTTCAACACAATTGTACCGCGCAAATCCATGCATTGAATCAAGGGTCGCGAAAGTGCAAAACGAAACAACATAAATCAAACTTGATAAACAGACAATTTGGGAATGAAATAAAATACAAGTGTGCGGTTGGCCTTTTCCATCTCAAATTTGTTTAATTACTTTGATTTGACAAATCTTGGTTCCTGTTTTGAAAGCGCTTTATTCATTTCTTTTATTATTATTATTATTATTAATTTATTTTTATTTTTATTTTTTCTGCAAGGCAGACTATATATATCTTACTAGACGTTTTGTTGTGTAGTATCGCTGAGTATTTTTACGAGTTGTGCCGTATTTTGACGAGCCCGTAGGGCGAGTCAAAATACAAACAACGAGTAAAAATACTCAGCGATACTACACGACAAAACGTTTAATAAGTTATTTATTATCCAACACGCCAAACTATTATTTCAGTGCGGGCAAATTTCGCGAATGTTTATTTACGGGGAGTGCGCGACAGAAGTATACGAAGCGGAATGGAATTGGCGCCTTGTTGTGCTGCTGTTTCTATTTTCTTCATTAAATGAAGAAATTGTCTAGCCGTCAAGCTGTTTTTCTTCGTTCGATTCATCTAATGAATTTGGAGCTATATTTGCCAGCCATTCTGACTCTTCGTCGTCGGAAATATGATTCAAATTGTCCGGAATCCCGTACAGGCCTGATTTTTTTCAGGTTTGATTTTCGCTATTGCTTAAATAGCGCTATCTACTGCGAGGATCGTGCATCATATGTATCTAATACCGCAGTACAATATATATGAGCTTCATATATTTCATTGCACCTCATTATTATTATTATTATTATTAATTTATTTTTATCTTTATTTTTTTCTGCAAGGCAAAGACTATATATATCTTATTAGACGTTTTGTTGTGTAGTATCGCTGAGTATTTTTTACGAGTTGTGCCGTACTGTGACAAGCCCGTAGGGCGAGTCAAAATACAAATAACGAGTAAAAACACTCAGCGATACTACACAACAAAACGTTTAATAAGTTATTTATTAGCCAACACGCCAAACTGTTATTTCAGTGCGGGAAAATTTCGCGAATGCTTATTTACGGGGAGTGCGCGACAGAAGTATACGAAGCGGAACGGAATTGGCGCCTTGTTGTGCTGCTGTTTCTATTTTCTTCATTAAATGAAGAAATTGTCTAGCCGTCAAGCTGTTTTTCTTCGTTCGATTCATCTAATGAATTTGGAGCTATATTTGCCAGCCACTCTGACTCTTCGTCGTCGGAAATATGATTCAAATTGTCCGCCATTTGTTTTTTGTTTTTTTCTAACTACAATCCAGTTCTTCGCTTGCGCGATGCGAGAAAAACTGTTTAACCGGTACTACAATAGACGAGTACAAATACCGCGTGATATTTGTACTCGTCTATGGCGTTATTTGTACTCGTCTAGGTGTAGTTGGATAATAATATATGTTATCTTTAGGTGCGCTAACGAGCTGAATACATTTCTCTAGAATTAATAGTTTTGGGATTTCGGAATCTAGTGTTGGTTGGGAAAAGGAGGGAACCTGTGTGCTCTCATATTAATAGTTCTTTGACTTCTAGATAACAGTTAACGTGGCTTATTTGTCATAATCAACTTTATTTTAACTTAAATTCTAAACAATTAACTAATAATTGCCTTTTTTACTGAAATACTAGAGGAGAACTGGTTATCTGTCGATTGGACTTGTTTCAAACTTATGGGAAATATTTCACTCTGGATAATCTACGGGAAGACAGCCTATGAACTTTAGGCCACTCGGAAAAGTTGGTTTCTTTGTACAAATATTTTAACGTAGTAAAAATGAATCAGCGAAGAGGGAAATATTATCCATCTCGAATATCCATTAGAGGTAGAACAAAATTTTATTTATCAGAATAAATCTGCGTCGTTCGTCGACAAAAAAAAATTGAAACAACATTCATAATGTGCTTCTTCAAAAATTCTTCGAGGCAAATGATTTACATTTATTTACCTGATCTAATTAAGAAAATGTCTTGAAAGCTCGGCTTAACATTAAATTTGCCTAATACTGGCATTACGTTTCACATCGCTATTATAGTTGGCTATGACCGTTTTAGTTAGAGAAACTTAATTTCTAATTGCCCTCTATTGCATTTGAAATGTTTGTTAACACTATACAATGTAATCTCGTTTCTTTTCTTGAAAAGCAATTTCTTGTAATCGACAGTAATTACTTTATAATTTTTCAGTTATTTAGACCCTTTACATTAACTATAAAATAATTGTCAGTTCTGTACTATACTTTTAATTTTGTATTGCTGTATCCTTGCTAGATTCAACTTAAATATTCTCGACACTTTGTATATCTCAAAGCGTATCTGAAGAGGCGGCACACATGGAATGGGTAACGTATCTGTAGAGGCAGCACAGAAGGAATAAACAATCAGATTCAACCGGTGTTTTTCTAGTATGAGGACCTCAATTTCATTTCTGTGGATTTCATTGAAAGATATTTTCCATTGAAGTGACGCCAAGTAACTGCTCGGTCATTTTTATGATTTCCCAAGTATTTTCCGTTTAGATTAGATTGGTAACAGGCATTGTACCACCAGGCGCCAGTGTGTCGCACAGCACAGTTTGTAAAGTAACCGCTGCGAATAACTTTATCATTATCTCTGTCTTTTGTAGTAAACGCCATGTCATTATGCCATGATAAAGAATCTCCCGCTGTTCCTGAATATGAACCAACTCTAAGTCGATACTGTGTTTGCTCGTCACCAATATCAAATTTTCCATATTTGGCATACACTTTAGTACTGCTCCAATCCTCCAATTCCACTCGCAGAGTACTGCATCTACACGCCGTCAGCCTATGGATCTTGTCGTTTCCTAACCAGAACTCACCAGTCAGCTGACCAAATCCGGCTTTATAGTCGCCCCATCCTCGATAGAAGTCTACCGATCCATCCTGTCTCCGCTGGAATACGGTCCAGCCACCACCATCAGTACACATGTCACAGTAAACATCGAAGCGTCCCTGACCATCCGGGTCAACAGAGTACACTCCACTCTGACTATGGCCTGATTTCAATAAATCGAAACAGTCTAAAACAAGAAAAAGGGTGAAAATATGATAACCCGTGACAATGATGATAAGACAATAGTAGTATGATAGTGATGATAAAGAGATCTCAAACAAAGGAGAGATACAGTTCTTCCGGAATTAGATGACAAATATAAAACAGATAAAACGTTACCCAAACATTCCTTATGAGCTGGGTGATAAATCAAGAGTATGTTATTTTGTTTTCTCGAGGCATTCCCCTTTCTCTCTTCTCTCTTACTCCCTGACTGTAATTTGCCTTATCGTTGATGTCATCCCGGTTTCCTTGCTTTTTTTCCCCCATTTTTTTTTTTTTAAATAATGGGTTGTTATGCAACCTAGCTTTTTTTTCCTTCTTTATCGGTCTCGTATTAGGAACTTAAAGTGTAGAGTTATTCATTGACTGTACAACGTTTAAATCAATTTTTTTTATCAGAATTCGAATTGTATTGTTAACATTAAAATCGCCTTCACCTATTTTCTTTCATTCAGACTCTTCTGATAAATTGTGTAGAGTTCCCTAGTCAAAAGCTCCCCCTTGCTTTAAGCGATGGCTATCTTTTTTTTTTCTTTTTCTTTTTTTCACCATCTCTCTTTCCCTTTTCAACCTTTCTCGATGCTGTTTTATTTTTCGAACGAAGTAAACCGTCTGCTTTAACCTACCTCTGGCTAGCGCTGGTCCTTTTGTTCCAGGCATGCACCCCTTGTTTTGACCAACGACTGCATTATCCGCATTGCGCTTGGTTATTTTCTCCTCATGGGATCGAACATCTGCAAAGGAAAAAACAATATTTGCAATCTTATTTTCCAATCTACGCACACAATTGCGCTATTTGCGGCATAATTTATCTCTCTTAAAAGCTCGAGTAAATACACATCATAAAAGAAGGTATTTACTGAATGTTTTGTTAAATTAAGAAAACAACCACGAGAAAAGAGAACATCTGGAAATGAAACTAATAAGTTGTTATTTTTACCAGCTAGAAGTACGAATGCTTCCGATTTGAACTTTAGTAAGTTCCGTAAGTCACACATTTCTCTTATATGATGATATCTGTGAACGATTGCTTGTTCAATGGATTTCATTTTCCTGCATTTTAGCCATCACGAATGCTTAATTAAGTCGATCCACTTGTCAAAATGAAGATGAAGATGAAGGCTAAGTGACTTCAGGACCAGAGAAAATGCATCTTAAACTATATTTTCTTCTGCAGCTCTATATGATCATATCTGAAAAAACTTGTCATAAGCGTTATGAATCACCCTTCAAGCAAAAATAGGAACGTGAGCGGTTTTAATTTATTTTTTGTTGTTCTTGCTTTTGTTGTCAGCTTTGATTTTTCGTCACAGAAATCTGACCGGGCTCGTGTGAAGACAATGAAGGCCTCAAACCGATCTAGCAGTGAAATATGTTTGAATTGCAGTGTTTTACCGGCAAACCTACTTTCAGAGTCTATATATCTATTTGGTTGTTTATGAAAGTTCAAATCCATTCAATTACGTAGCTAAAAAATTACAAATTGAAATTGTTTCCATTGTTTTTCGGAAATTCGGTGCGGATCCCAGACTGAAGTTGAAAATAACTTGACCTGGTGGCCTCTGAGGAAGAATTGCTTCCTTTGAGCGTGACCTAAGATTTTCATTTGGTTTTTGAGATGTAGAACCCTTTCCCTCAAGAAGCTGGTTTTCCGCTCAAATCACCAACTGAGACTCGAAGCCACATGCTGAGAGCAAAGAATATTACACTGTTTAGTCAATGAGACTATCATTCAGCAGAAAAAATGGACAAAAAACATTTTTTGTTTGTCACAGCCGTACCAAAAAAATATATGTAGCTGTTACATTAATCTTGGGAAATATTTGTTCAATTGATCTTAATTCTTTTTATATGCTTTTCAACTCAGCTATGAAGATTATAGATCTACGGTTTCTGTTAAAAAAACCAAAAACTCACCAGGAGCATTGTTGATGAATTTAGAGTCCGCAAGGTCGTTAGACGGTAGTTCAGTTGTCTTCGTAACACTTTCGGAATCGTTTAATCTCTTCTTGAGCTGATTCAACTCCAGTCTCACTAAAATAAACCCGACACAGTAAAACGTAATAGACAAAACTATTAAGATTGAAGAAAAAGAAGGCACTCGTTGCTCTTGAACGGCCATGTCGTAAACGATTCAGTCAACATACAAGTGAAGAATCTGTAGTTGCAACAGGTCTATATAAAGAGAATCGATTCGATATACGTGATAAACCGTGATTAGGAGGCTCAGTGTCTCAACAACTATTTCTAGGAAACGATGAAAAGTCGTTTAAATTTTCTATTACGTGCAAGAAAAAGACCATTTTACTTCCAGGTGTCATTTTGGAAAGAAAATATACCCTGTCTTTTCCATGAATAACTCCGTTAGTTCCAACTAGTTATAATTTTTGTAAACAAGACAGTTTTTGTGCTTTGCCGGCAGTTTTAATTTTTTTTAGCTCTAGGAGACCGCAATCAGGGAAGCTTCAGTGTAAAACCTGTATTTGAGGAGTATATATTACAGTGTTGGCATTATAATAATAATCCTTGTCTGTATATTTTTTATATCCATCTGGTGATACCTTTAGTAAGAGTGGGATGTAATGAATTGCGATTTCAAAGGACAAGTTTTTTATCTTCATAAAGTACCACTGACAGAAAGTATTTGCTATTCCGAGAATTGATACTCAACCCAAGTTCCTCTTCCTGAGGAAAATCCTTTATCTTGAACGATTGCCAGTTCATAGTTGAGAACGTGATCCAAAAAATACAGTTTCTTTCAATTTCCTTCAGCAGACAGGAAGCCCACTGAGGACACGTAGCTAAAAAAAGACCCGCCGGAAATCTGGGATGACCCGACTCGTCCGGTAAAGTAGCTGTTAAGATTATCATATTTCCTTTTTATTCTTTTTTTTTTTTTTTTGCACTGTAGTACTGCTTCCGTTCACCATTCCCAATTCACCTATAACATACACAAAAAATTGTAATTGACTTACTGGACAACGTATACTGTTATGTCTCACAACCAGCATCTTTTTTTTCTACTACATTTCCATAGTCTTCCATATGATACAGAACAAGCTACGTATAGCCTTTCTCATGAGATCTTGAATCAGCACGTAGGAAGAAGTGACAACATGCGCACACTCGATATCAAATTAGGAACCAAAGGCACTCTTTTTGTTTGCTTCAGCAAAATTGGAAGCCGAGTAAACTCGCTTTCTTACATTCAAACACATTCGCGCACTTGAGGACATTCGGTGCCAATCAGTTCAAAACCTTGGTTTTGGAGGTCCTTTTTGTAAACCACTTTTTAGTGAAAAAGTTTCCTCATTAAAGATTGTCGTCATCATGGAGAAATAACCGGGGCCTGAGCACTAGCGGATAATTTTAATGAAACTCCATCAAGATATCGGCAATATTGAATAATAGCGCCGAGTACATTGTTGAGTAATAGAAGCGGGCAAGGAAGAACACAAGAGAAGTGCTTAAAGTGCACATGACTCGAAATTTTCCCCCTCTTTTTTTTTCTTACATTCAAAAATATACGTTATGAGAAGTATTTCAGCGAAAGAAAGTAAGTCAAAACCTTTCAAGAACACGTTTTAAAATGCGATTAAAGTTGGCATTTTTTCTTCAAAATATGGGACAAGAGCCTGGGAACGAATAAGAGAGCTGCACGTCATCGGTTGTGTAGAAGATGTTGTGGTTCTATCCTGTCATCAGTCTACGTCACTACGGAGTCACATGAGATGCGCGCGCATGCTGCCGGTTAGTGCTCGCTTGCTGGTTTCGATCTTCAAACCTTTTTTTTTTTCTGGTTCGTAATCCAAGGAAAATATCCGCAATCCTGCGCTCCTTTAGAATCCTTTCTACAAAAATTCCAAGTTTAAGGTAGGTGAAAGTCCATGATTGTTTGATTTTTCCACAAATTTCAGCGAAATCATCAGGATGGGCGATTCAAATAATGCCGCTCCTGAAATGGATAAATCGCAAGAGGACACCTCACGAAGCTCACAGAGCGCCGAGGAGGACGGCCTTAACAAGGCTATTTTCTCGATTGACGAAAATATGGCTAAGATGGTGGCCATTTTTGAGAACATATGCGACACTAAAGGGCCACCGGCCAAGAAACGAAAGGCTAGAGGTGAAGACAGCATGTCAGCCTCTGACCCACAGTCACACAGTCAGAGGAGGAGGCTGAGCCTTCAACCTCTCATCACATGGATGATGATGTTAGCTTGTATGCTAGCGATGAATTGGAGGACGACGACGCCGTCAAAGTGCTCACCGAGCGTAATAAAAACCCTAAAAAGGTAACCGGCCAAAAAAGTAGCAAAAGAAAGATGCTCAACTCATTGGCTGATGCCTATGACACTGAAGACGCCACCGGCGATGATTTGGATGAGGATGTGACAACTCTTGTCAAAAAGCGACGGGGTAAGAAATTAAATCCTGATAAAATCAAGACAATTGTTGAAAAACACAAACGTCTGGCAAGTTGCCCTCAACTCAAACAGATAAACGTCAATCAGGAGATATGGGCACAATTAAATGCCCGCCAGTGGAAAGCTGATTTACAAATTGCCAACCTTCAGCAGATTGTCAATAAGACAGCTATTATCAATTTACAAACTCTTCCGTGGATTACTGTAAATGCTGAAAATACACCAGAGCTTATAAATAATAATCTGGCCAATACCATTGCAATGTTGGGTCATGTACAGACCCAGATATCTCAGTTAATACGAGAACAAATTAAAGCTGCACTAAGCTACGAGTATAAGTCAATATGCTCATTTGAAGTACCTGCTACTTCACAACAACTCTTTGGGGACGAATTGTCCAAGCATCTAAAGGATGCAAGGGAAACTAGTAAACTGAGGAAGGTTATAGAACCCAAACACACTGCAAACAACCGAACCCAATCGAAATATGCCAGAAAAGACACCCCTTTTAGGGGGAAAGCCACCTTTCAAAAACCGGGGCAATAAAGACAAACAACAGGGCCAGAGAGCCACCAAGTAGTCAAAAAATTGAGAGAAATCCAAAACTCGGTAAATATGTTTACACAAATTTTGCCACTCTTATTGAATTACGTTCACAGCCAATGTACCAATTTTACAGCTGGGCAGGTGAAATTACACTACTCAGCTTGGACAAAGCTACTAGTGACAAGGATATCTTATCTGATGTCCTCGGAGTAAGCATCCAATGTGATGACACTCGTGTGCAACATAAACTCCCATCAAACAAGCACAATGAGAATGATACTAATAACATCAAACTGGAAGTTCAAAAATTGCTTACGAAACGGGTAATTGAAGAGGCTAGCTATGATCCAGAACAAATAATCTCCACTATCTTTCTAGCACCTAAGAAAGATGGGACTCATAGACTTATTTTAAACTTGAAAAAGTTTAATGAGTTTGTTACTATCATTTTAAAATGTATTCTCTTGGCACCATAACAAAATTGCTTACCTAAAATTGCTACATGGCATGAATAGACATGAAGGATGCCTATTACTCTATACCAATCAAGCAATCAGACAGAAAGTATTTACGTTTTCACTGGGAAAAAAAGACCTACCAGTTTTGCTGTCTGCCAAATGGGTTAGCTTGTGCTCCCCGGAAGTGTACTAAAATGCCTAAGCCAGTGCTGGCCCACCTGCATACTAAAGGGCACATATCAATTGCTCACTTGGATGATGTCTATCTCCAAGCGCAGACATATGATCAATGTATTTTGAATGTCACAGACTATGCAGATTCTCGAGCAGCTTGGCTTCATTGTACACCCTGTGAAGTCTCTTTTGATCCCCTCCCAAGAAATAGTCCTTGGTTTTCTTATAAACTCAGTGACAATGACTATCAGGCTTACCAATGAGAAGGCAAAAGGAACATGCAATGCGTGCAAGGATGTGCAGCATGGCAAAATTACCATCAGAGAAGTAGCCAGAGTACTAGGTAAACTAGTATCAAATTTCCCAGGGGTCATGCATGGTCCTTTATACTGCAGACAACTCGAAGCTGACAAACTGCAGCTCTTAAAAGAAATAAAGGCAATTTTGACTCCTCTATGACATTGTCACGTGGAGCCCTTCAGGAGCTACAGTGGTGGGTTAGAAATGTTGAAAATTCCTTCAATGTAATTTACCACCCTAAACCTGAGCTCCTTATAACCACAGATGCCTCGCTCTTGGGGCATGGTGCTCATTGTGGG